GCAGCAGCACGTGCACATCAAGCTGGACGGGGCGGTGGGCTTCAGTCAAGCTGTACTGGAACTTTTTCATCTATAGGGTCGGACCGGAATCGAGCCGCTCCTGTACTGCAGAGCCTGGTAAAATTAGTAGGTTTAAGAGTTTAGAGGACTGATTTGTGGGCTTCATCGCTGCAGGGTAGTCTACAGAAACAAACCGAGTCTGACTAGAACAGAATTGTACCGGAACCGAGACACTTTTGTTCTGCAGAGCTAGTAAGTAAAATTTAGTAACGTATGTTGTTAAAATGATGTAGGTTTAAGAGTTTAGAATATTGCAAGAGTGTTGGAAGAGTTTATAAAGCCTTAATATAAAGTTTACTGTACTTGAACTTGAACTACTGTATCCCTACTTCGCTGTTTTTCACTTATCGCAGGGCTTCAGGGTACGGATTCACCGTGATAAATAAGGGACTACTGTATTCCACTACAAACATCATTTCTGTGCTCAGTTCTTTTGTCTCTTGGCTTGTTTAAGTTTTTTGATATTTTAATGTCAAAAGGACATGAGTAGTGTCCCTCTGGTGTCCTTCATATGAGCCGTTCCCACTATTTGTCCATCAGTCTTACTGCACTTGTCCTTGCTTGCTGGTTAAAGTGACCAGACCCACCCACCCTAAAGACCCCTGCCAGCAGTGAGAGTTAATTAGTTAAGTAGATTGGATTCTTCTGTGCTCCTACAAGTACACTCCTGCACCCGGTGGTTCAGGCATCTTTTTATTGATGTGCTGCAAATCAAACTTCAGGTCAAACAAATTTGTAAGTCAATTTATTTTGTAGATAAACTTGAAATATCTCTGAAACAAAAACACAAGAAGCTTTTCATTCTTTATTTTCTTGTGATTTCAAAATGGCGTTTCGTGTAATTTTTCCTAATAGTGAAATTAATTTGACTCTAAACTCATCTTCTAGGATGCAAACAGGGCGTTTTACGTGCACTTGCTGTGTGGATTAGTGCTGCTTGTTGTATAAAAACTAACATTGATTCAAAGATTCAGTTGTCATGTCATAAATAATAAATGTATGTATAAAAACTCAACTAAGTGAGACGCCAGCAAACTTTAAAGCTCAGAGGCTCCGTGATGTTTGCAAAGCCGTTTCATCTTTGCTCCTTCTAATAATAACAGTATTCAGAAAAGAAGACAAAGCTGTTGAGAATCCTTTCAAGACATGAGCATGAAGGTTTAGAAAGTAAAAAATAACCCAAAAGCTCTCAAAGGCATGCTACGGATTTGTGGTGACTGTAAAATGTGTGCAAATGGTTCGTATGAATGCCAAAACCCAGACGGTCCCAAGCCAAACAATAACAGCTGGAAATACCCATTTTAATTCAGCTGCTGAGACGTCAGATTAAACTGTTCTGTTTATCCTTAATGAATTAAATGTTGGGGACACGCCTAACTTTCAGAGTCTGCACACATGTTGACAAGTGGTGCACCGATGTCCCTCATCACTGAGGGTTTTGAATAGGGAGTGCTTGTAGTTTCCAAGATTAGTGTTTTTCTGGACTGGAATTGAACGAGGAAGGCAAAACAACCTCAATGTTTTGGTGCAAGATATTCAAGTGGGTGAGCAGATACGCTGTTTTTAAAAACAGATGTAGTTTTTTTTATTTTTTGTTCATCTGAGGTGGCTCAGAGTGACAGATTCTGGCGAGTGGAGGGAGAAATTTTATCCACCACCACCTATATATATATATATATATATATATATATATATATATTAGTCCCTCGTTTATTGCGTATGTTTGGACCACGCCCACCCGTGAGAAGTGAAGAACTGCGAAGTAGAAATATAGTAGTCCAAGTTCATGTTCAGTTCAAGTTCAGTAAACTTTGTCATGCCATGTGCCAGGCTGCAATCACACATCACCTGTTACTCCCACTTTCCCTCCTTAAATAAACAATTTAAATACTGTAACATCATGGATTGTTTATTTAAAATGTTACAGTATTTAAACTCTAGAGAAGAGAAGTGCAGCAGGACTACAAAGGACGTCACACAGCTTCAGCTCTGCAGCACGGAGCAGAAATGTACTTCTTGATCAATTACACTGAAACAACGGAACATAGAAGTTCTAAAATAATTAAAAATAACTTTTAACACTTTTATATTATGTGATTATGATGATGTGGGACTTTGAATTTTAAGTTGGAAGACAGAAGTTGATCGGTGCATCTGGACATCAAAGGGTTCACAAAGCCGATGCAGGAGAAATGTGTGTGTGTGGCAGAGAAGGAGATCAGCTGATTGGCCGCAGGAGGGAGCTTCCCCTGCACTTGTGGGCTTCACACATGGTGTAAAATAATAATAAAATTGTATATTGCTTCGTGTGTTGTCTGTTGTTCTGTCTGTACAGCACTTTGGTTGGCCTTATCACTGTTTTAAGTGCTCTATAAATACAGTGGTATGGTGTGGTGAAATAAGTTAAAATAGTATATTTTAAATAAGCAACCCATGGGACATCCATAAATCAGCCAATTGTGTCATGCCCAATCTTATTTTGAAAAACCGCGATACAGCGAACCTGTGAAAAATGAACCGTGAAGTAGCGAGGGACTACTGTATACAACGGTGGCCATCTTGGATTTTGACTTGGCAACCCAGTTTTCAATAGTGACCTGTTTTACTCCTAGTTGCAGCCACACACTAAGATGGAAGCTGACACATTGCTTATTTTTCAAGTTATCCATCTCACAAGATGAACGACTGGATGGACGAAGAGGCGGGAGAATATTTCCAATTTCAATTATTTGGTCATGACGGGGACAAAACGACCTGGAGTACACATTAACAGACTGGTTTCAACAATGATGAATGAAGGACTGAGGATCCTGATGCGAGATCACAGACCTCATGATCTGTAAACCACCTAAATCCAACTGAACGTGTCAAACTTGAGTGACGGGAACAGTTTAAAGAGGAAACAAACATAACTGTCATCTTGCTGCTGCTTCTTCTAACAGCTATCTGCTGTTCTGACAAGAACACATCTGTCCCAGTCTCTCCTTTTCACTTTCTGTTAACGACACACGTGTGTAGGTGGGTCAGTAATCCATTTACGTGAATCAATTGAGTCCACAGTAATGTTTGATCGACTCCGACTGAGGTTGGGTTGGTTCCCCTCACAGTAACAAATATTTGTGCCATCTAGCCATGTTGACTCTCCCAGACTGGTGAAGATTTGCCCAACTGGGAATCGTGAGTAAAGTTTAGCAAAACACCATGCAATGTATCCTCAGCTTTAGACATACGTTTTCTGAACAGCTCCAGTGTGCAGGAAGTGCTAATAAATCATAGTAGCAAGCGTAAAACTTATTTTTAAGATGGTTCTAATCTTACACTGTGGTTCTGAAGAAACGTTTAGTAGTCTGGTTGATCAAACAACACGGATTAATCTGGTATAAGTTTTTGAATGAAAGCTTGAGCTTCCTGTTGATTTCACAGACCAACTTGTTTGCTGAAATAATAATAATAATAACGCATTTTATTTGTTAGGGCCTTCAAGACACCCAGGGACGCCTTACAAAATTGAATTTAGTTACTAAAATAACTTTGGTGATGACACTCCAGTACCTTTTAGGTTGTAACCAGAAACTTTGAAAACCACAAACACAGATGATTCTTATCTAATTTAAATTGTCTTAAAAGCTTCTTCTTATGCTGCAAGTATGCAGTTCGAGGAGTGAAACGGCACTAAAACCATTTTAATACTTTAGTTTATTTATGCTTTTGATTAAAAACAAAACAAAAAAAATGAAGCCAGACAAACTTTACTGTCTAAAACTGACACAAATCAAGGAAAAAAAAGGAGAAAACAGCTAAAATTCGACTACTACTGCTGTTTATATGTGTGTCAGTCTGCGTATTACTGAAGTATTAATGAGCTGATAAAAGGAGAGGAGAAAAGATAAGCAGCATGTGTCCTCTCAGGTCCAAACATAAACGCATGAAAATTGTTTAATCAAATTATTTGTAGCCAAAACGATCTGGATAAACAGTGGCCATGTGAGGGAGAAACACACAAAGAAACAGACATTCTGGGATTTATCCTGTTGCCACGGTAACTAAAGGAACAGATGCAGGTCACACTGATTGATGGACCAGAACACACACATATGCTTACAAAAACAATATCTGCACGGTTCCCTGTGTACAGTGGGACTTGAATCTCTTAACAGAAACAACATCTGCATTATTGTGTACACGTTAAAGCGTCAAATGATTTTACCGTGTGTTTATTCGGTTAAAACACAGAGAAATTAAGGTCGGAAACACCGAAATTCATTCAACGGTGACAATTTCCAGAGAAATCCTTGCAGTCAGCACCCCTCTGCTTCTGCCTCTGCTGCAGTTTCTCTCAATTTAACTTCACTGCATCTCCTCTGCCCTCCTCATCGCTCCGCATTTTCCAGCTTATGGTTCACTGCTCTGTGTAAGTCGCCCTCGCTGATACTCATGAGTTTCAAAAAGCAAAACGACCCAGCGAGGTTCTCTTCCTACGTCACTGGAGGGGACCATCAGATCAAAGGAAGGAGAGGATCAGTTCGCATCCTGTTCCACAAGCTACAAGTGGTTCTCAGCACGGTACAGTACCTCTTTGTGCAAAACTGAATTGATGCACATAAAACACAAATTCTGTCAACAGTTCTTGCAGTCCGTTTATGTTTGCAGTTTGAGACCAAAGCTAGATTTTATTTTATTTTTTTACTGTGGTGGAGATACGGTGTAGGGTTTATGTGCGTAGGAGGGAATTCACATGGCTTCATTAAGGAGAGGCAGCATTGAAGGGAATGAAAGAGAATTACAGAGACAAGAAGATACCCAATCAAAAAAATCTAGGTGACAAGAACTACAACCAGCAAACAAAACAATGCAACAAGGAAAGCATAAAACACATGGGTCATCTGAAACTGAAACTCAAGATATCCTACACCCATATTTAAAAATAAATTAATACTTACCATGAACTGGACATTGTCAAATCCATTGGCGAGCAGGTGGTTCTCATACTGGACCAGTCCAATAGAGTCAAGCCACTGGCCAACAGACTGCAGTGGGCAGCGGGGACCTATGAGGGGGTGGAGGGGTAAACGCTTTAGTAGGGAGTAGCCATCCACGCGGTAGCAGCGGCAGTCCGGCTGCGAGAGCTGGCACTGCCACATCATATTATGGCGGGCAAAGTGGCTGTCGAAGGAGCCTGCCATGCTTTTGAGGAGTCTTTTGGCAAGGCAGGAAAATGAAGGGAGGGCAGGTAGGGTGAATGGGGGGAAAGGCTAGACGAGGGGCATGGTGGGGATAGAGGGGGTCAGCATGCAAGGATGCAAGTAGGTACAGTGTAGATGTCCAGGCGCTGGGTTCTCTGAATCCAACCAGAAGAAGAAGAAGAAGCAGCAGCAAAAAGGGGTGAAAGTGAAGTTGTATCCAGAAAAGAGCTCCTGTCCTGCAGGTTCAATCCTGTCAGAGAAGGGTGCTAGGTGAGACCGGGTGTACAGATCCGCAATCAACAGCGACCGCGCTTGCCGTGCACAGCCCCAGCAGCAGTTTTCTTCTCAGCTGTTGCGCTTGCTCGGTTGCTCCCCTGAGCTCGTGTGTGTGCATCTGAGTGTGTGTGTGTGTGTGTGAGGGAGAGAGAGCTGCTGCCGTGTAGATTTCTCTTTATCAAGTACTCCCACTCTCATCTGTATGCTCCTGCAGCCTCCTCTCTCTCCCCGTCTTCTCCCAGAGCGCTGCTTCCCTCCTTCCTTCACTCCCTCTCACTAACTTCCCTCTGTCTCCCTTCCGCTCTATCTTCCTCAGTGGCGATCGACACCCTGCTGTCTCTGCTGCTCTACATATATCTGGCTCACTTGGCTGATAATAGCCATCACAACAGTTCCAGCTTCTTTGTCTTTAAGCCAGGCTCCCTCCCACTCACTCTCACACACACCATCCTGACTGTTTGTGTGCAAACCTACATGTGTGTGGTCCAATATGCATGTGCTCGTGGCAGCATTTAGCTGCTTTGACACAAACTAGGTTTCTGCCCATGACTATGGTTGGAAGCTCCTTTGTATCGTTAGATGAAAAAAGGTAGGAGAGGACCAGGAGGTGGTGGGCTGTAGGAGTTATTACGGAGTGAGGGGGTGAATGCAGCAAATGGACGACTGGAGGAGCACTCAAGGTGCGCAGGTTAGAAAACTGTGAAAAACAGGTTTTATGGCCACAAAATCATTTAAATATTCAAGCAAACATCAACCAAGATGTCATATCTCAACCTGAAGAGCAAACAATGCACATTTTTTATAGATTTAACTCATCAGTAATGATTATAAAAAAATGTTATCAGTGCTATTTGAAGCAGGAGGGCCATTGTTATGAAAATGTCTATACTGTAAGGTAACGCGTCAGATTTTATTCAGTGAAAAAAGGGTTGACTGACTGGACAAACAGCCTGCATCCACTTTCTCAAGAGTTCTGTGAAATGATTTTCCATAATGGAGGATTTTGTGGTAACTGCTGAACATTCTTAGTTTGATTTTCTCCCACTGCATGAGGAAGTGGCAGCAAAGTGCCAATTACCCGATTCATAGTACATGAGGAAGGAAGTAGATTAAATTTACTACGACATTATTTATTCCTCATTAGCGTAGATGCTGCTTGTGGAAACACCCTCCATTTGACAATATTAATCTCTTTAACCAGTACTATATGTTTGCAAATTACTTCATCCGGTGTTATGGTTTCATCAGAATTGGAGTCGAAACAGTCCTGAAAAGGATTATATTATTTACAAATAACTCCTAAGGTTTGATTTGCCTAACACAGCATGTGGGGAAGGTAGGACTATTGCTCACTCAGTATAAACCCGTGATTATGGTAGCAGTTGGTTGGTGTCTTGTTGGGACAAATTCAGCAAATTTAAAATCTGAATCATGGCTACAAATATGCAAAGTCTATCCCCTCTATGTTTTGTGTTTTATTGTATGCAATATTTTAAAAATAAATTCAGCCTGAGCTACTTAAAGGGGTTTTATCATACAGTAACTGACAGCATCAACACTATGGAGAGCCATTTCATTCAAAATTAAATAAATAAATAAATAGTTTTATTTAAATATTATTAATAAATATTCCAATAAATAAATAAATTTCCCCTTAAAATAAAACATTTAAAAATAAAATGTTTAGTTTTTTCCAACATTTATTTTTATTTATTTCAAGATTTATTTATGTATTTAATAACAGAGTTTCATTTTGTGACATTTTTATTTTGTAAAGCAACATTATATATTTCAGGGGCTTTTATTTTTTAACCCCATTTGTAATTTTAATCTTTTTTTTGTCATGTTCTTATATTCAAATGAGGGGGCGGGGTTTTCTCTGTGGGGCGGGTCTGATCATGGTCAATGCAGACTGGGCAAATCAATAACTAAATCAAAAATAAAATAAACGATTGCCTCTCAAGTCTCACACATTGACCGTAAGACAACGCATTTCATGACGTGCACATGGCACACTTTGTATTTCTCACGCTTAAACACACGCAGGCCTTTTTTTGAAGAGGAACCAATGTCCAGCACAATGTTTCCGCACGGGCTAGAGCACAATAGCGGACATGGCTGCAGTGTTGCCAACTTAGAAACTTTCTCACTTTATTTAGTGAGTTTTCAGACCCTCTAGTGACTTTTTTTAAGCAACTAGCTAGCGACAAATCTAGACTTTTTCAGTGTTACTGGAGACTTTGGTGAAGAAAGCACATTTGGCAGTGGGCCGTAAGCCCCTCCCACTTCCCCAACCTCTGACAGCTGTCAGTCTCACAGCAGAGAGGAAACCCACTCCATTTGGTGTCCACACTGCAAATCAATCACACCCTGGAATACAACACGGGATGTAAATATAATGTAAATGTATAATGCTCAATTTCATCAGCAAACCTTTGAAGCATTTCATCTCGGAGCTCTCCAATGTTCTCCATATTGCCCGCTTGTCATCCTGACTTTCTGAACACAGTTAATTCATGATTTTAAGTAGCTGGACCAAGCAGAGCTCAGCGAGGAGAATACTTTGCTGTGATTGGTCAAAAAAGATATAGGAAACCCCGCCCCCTCATTTGAATATAAGAACGTTAAATAAAAAGAGCTTAAAATGAAAAACAGGGTTAAAAAATAAAAGCCCTTGGAATATGTAAAGTAGCTTTACAAAATAAATGTGTCACAAAATGAAACTCCATTATTAAATAAATAAATAAATCTTAAATAAAAATAAATCTTGAAATAAATTAAAAAAATATATTGGAGAAAAAACTTAACATTTCTATTTAAATGTTTTATTTCAAGGGAACATTTATTTATTTAATGGAATATTTATTAATAATTTTAAAATAATATTTATTTATTTAATTTTGAATGAAATGGCTTTCCATACAATACGATGTTAATTTAATATAAAACGCATGCATAGAAAAAAATGTCCAACTGTAAGCATCTAATGTTACTGAACACTGACCAATCAGAGGCTTTTGTTATGCTGTACTTTATATAGATCATAGCATTACTAATCACTACTTTGTAACTAAACAGGATTTTTCCTTAAAGCAGACTTTCTTATCTCTCTCTCAACACACACCAAACTGAAGCACACTCATGCTTACTTGTACATGATTTACCTGAGTTATCCTCCTTGATATCCAATCCGCTGCCAATTCCTGCCCCAATAGAGCTCATAATCTTGTCGATCTGTATAAATGGGAGAAAGACAAAGAGTGTCAGCGTTACAGAGGTGAACAGGATGTGTAAGAGGGTGGGGGGTAGGGGAAGTAATTTCCCAGTAATAAGGCTAACCCCTATTTCTGGATTCACGTGTCGCATAGCGTGTTCATTATACCAGCTAGTACGCTCGGTGTCAGTCAACCCCCCAAGTGGAGCAGGAAACTAAAAGACAGCAGAACAGATAGAGCAAGGAGCAAAGTGGATGCTGGTTGTATTAGAACAGACCTGATGCTAACCACTGAACTATACAACCTGCTCATCTGTCAACCTTTGACGGATAGCCAGCTACACCACGACTGAAGACAGTTGAAGTTGGGAGGAAATAAAGACGAGATGGATGGATTTCTTCCACTTGAAGCTGGGAAAGTGACGAGATTTTCACCTGCAAATCTGACCTACACTAAATTACATATTTTCTAACTCAGGGGTCTAAAACAAGTTGCGTTTTTCCTCAAGGTTATGAATTATTAGTGACTTCACAGACCCAAATACACACTAAAATGGAATATATGTATATGTATGTATTTATATGTATATATATGTATATATATATATATATATGTATATGTATATATATATATATATATATATACCCTTTTCAAAAAATTAGAATATCATGGAAAAAGTTAATCTTTAATACATGATAGATTCAGGGCCCACACTTTAAACGATTTCAAGTATTTATTTGTTTATTTTTACATAATTTGGGCTTCCAGCTAATGAAGTCCATGAAAACAGGGTTTATATATATAGCAGAGGTTAGAGAAGGTGGGCTTGTGATCGGAAGATCGCCGGTTCAAGCCCCGGTACAGACAACATTAAAAAAAAAGGTGGATGGGGTAGGTGAAGCACCCACACCTGCCCCCACCCTCATTCGTCCCACTCTGGGCCCTTGAGCAAGGCCCTTAACCCCACCATCTGCTCCTCCAAGTGTCCTAGATAGCAGCTCTCTTCTCCACACAGTGCGCTGTGGTAGCTCGGTGGTCTGTGGTTGCGTCAAGAAGGGCACCCGACATAAAAAACCCCCCAAAAAAACTGCTGAGTCTTCGTGCAACTTAGTTTGCTGTGGCGACCCCTAAAAAAAAAAAAGGGGGAGCAGCCAAAAGAAGAAAAAAAGATCATGCCAAAATCAATCTACCATTTTTCTCAAGTTACATGTGATTAATCAGGAAATGTTACCATAACTACTGGGAGTTATGCACAATTCCATAAGGTAATTTATCCCCATTAACAAATTGGGAGTTGTTTTGTGTAATTAACATGTTCATGCAAATGTGTGAAAGAATATACAAATGGGCCGTCAACCACGTCATTAGCGTCATTTTAAAAACAGCTTTATTCCCATAATCATAGAAAGTGCGATGTTGAGTGTTTCTCCAGGGAGTGGCGTGCAAATTATTTGAGATTTTTAATTTTCAGAGTGTATTCACTTGGGGAAGAATTTTATTTACAGTGGGAATGAGGAGTCGTGAGGCAAAAATAATGCATCTCAGGCTCCTTCAATCCTTTACCGTCAGGTCTGGTCAATAAATCACATCTGTAGTAGAAAGATCTTCAGAAACACAGTGAGACCAAAACACATAGAGGCCTCGCCCATCGCGCATTACCATACCATGCTTTCTTTTAAAAGGTTTGATCCCTTCTGAAGCTCCAAGAACCTCAGCATGTTAAATTAGCAGCCTGCTCCTTCTGCACTGTGGTAACAAAGTATATTTCAAAAAGAGGCCAAACTAAAAGAGCTCAGAGCTGAGGGTGCAGTTTTCATTCCTGCAGAAATGGCTCATTCCGAGAAGCTTATTCACTTTAATCAATTTTACAGCAAACATACAAGAAACTGCAGCGCAGGAAGTAATCTGCAACTTTTCCTCCTTCTTTAATGTCTGGACTGATTACAGTATGATAATTAGATGGTCGGCTATACTTGTTAGAGAAATATATTTATATTGTACCTCTTCCCACTCAGCAGTAAAGGAGGGCGTTCGCTCCAACCTTCTCTCGGGGCTGGCCCCTTCTCGTGAGCTGGAACTTCCTGGGCCCTGACCCCGAGATCCACACCCCCAACTGTGTTCCTCCTAAAAAAAAATAAAAAAAAACATACAAAACACTTTTCACTTTAAAATGAATGAATGACAAAATGTATGACAATGGTCCTTTTTTATTATAAATAAAAAAAAGTGAAACTAAAAATTGCCTTAAGGCTATGAACTCCCATCACAGTTTGAGCAATAATGGCTCCAGTTTCATCAAACAGACTATGCATTCAGTTTATAATTTATTTACACTGAATTAAAGAAATCTCAAAAGAACCACTCAGTAGGGAACACAGTGGCCCAGATTAACACGTTACCTAATTGGCTGAACTGTTTCTGAAATCTGTCACATGATGTGTACAGATAAAAACTGTAATTTATACAAATAAATATTTCACAAAAATAAATTTGCACACCAACTGAGACATTAATCTAAACCTATAAAACCTTTAACATGCTCATAAGTTTAAATATTAAAAAGCGTAGTGTTCTGGTGTGTGTACCTGTATGGGGGACACGGCCACAAGGTTGGAGTCGGACTTGGACAAAGACTTCGACAGCTGCAGGTCCAACACACTGCGTGGCACTGATCTCATCCTCCCCAGGGTACAAGCCCTCTCTTCGTACCCAGCTCCAGGTAAACCTTCTTTAGATGCACCTACGGTCAGGTTTCCAAAAGAATCTGCAACGTCACCGTTTTGCTCAGAGGAACGAGAAGGCAGGTGGCTCCATACACGAGCTGAATCCTCCTGCTCACAGTTCCTAGTCTGAACCTGGTCTTGGTTGACCCTTGTGTGAAAAACAGTCCGGTACACAACCTGGGGCTTCTGGGACTTGCAGTTGAGGCTCTGAGGAGATCCCTCGCTCCCAGTCCTAGAGAAGCCCTGAGAGGCTCCTCCACCAATCACAACGCTGATCTCGGGGGCCTGCAGCAGGCTGCTCTGGACATCTGCAGAGGCATATTTAAAGTGTTTGGGGCTGTAAAGATGATAAGGCGTATCAGGCGGTTCACAAGCCGGAGATGATCCATGAAGAAGGCCTGCGAACGCTTCTGGGACCAGGCTCTTCCTGTTCTCCTCCAGAAGAGGGTTTGAGCTGGAGGAAGGGCAGGGAGGAGGGGGAGGGGGTTCTCGCTGGTACGACCCGTCGTCTGCAAAGAGAACACAGGAAAACATGGATCACTCCATCTTAAAGATCATACAGACCAACTACAGATCCATATATTGTCATTGTACTAAATAGTTCTGCATAAACAATGACCTCTCTGACATCAAAACAGTGGTGACACCAGCTATGTTGGATGGTCTGGAGACAGACGAAGAAGAAACATAACATCTCTACAACAAGACAAATATCACACATTAAGATGCAAAAATTAAAAGTCCGTAGAAAAACTGATTAAATGGAAGGTGAAAATGTAAAACGAGTAACTAAGAAAACAAATATACAGAATAAAGCTATAAAAAGGATAAAAACAATCATAAATCGTACGGCCCCCTGTAGAAAAGCTGTTTGTGACTCCAAGAAGAAATAAACGAGCTCCTGACTTGAATTTTACACTTGTGTTCCTGCACGGTGTGGGTGCACATCATGTGCTTTCGAGTCTGAACCTGTGCACGTACGCATGAACTCATCAACACAGATGTACTTAGACCATTGTTTTGGAAAGGGGATCCTTTCAGAGGCCCACTCACTTTGTGCAGTGGTGTAAAAGAATCTGCTCAAAGTTTCTTTTGATTCTCCTATAAAAGTAATTGCAGATGTGTTGTTCTTCTGTTGATAAACTAATATAATTTCTACCACAATTATTTGTTGTACTTCCGCAAAACACCTAATTTCTCCAATTCTTGATGATTTAAAAAATGGCAAAAGATTGACATTATCATCAGTGTGATTAGCTTCCTTATCGTACCTTAGCTCCACAGGGGTCACATGCAGCATTATTTGTTTAAAATGTGGCTAAAGGAGTACTTTCAGGAGGATTCATCCTCACAAAGCAACCGGCCCAGACAACAACCCCGGGAAGGTGCTGAAAGACTGCCGATCAGCTCTTCGAGGTGCTGCCCGACATCTTTAACTCCTAACTTACCCTAGCAACAGTTCCCACCTGCCTGAAGACTGCCACCATCATCCCAGTCCCAAAGAGCTCTACAGTTTCTGGTCTGAATGACTATCGGCCAGTAGCACTCACCCTGATAGTCACTAAATGTTTCAAAAATCTGGTCATGACCCACATCAAACCAACCATCAACATCAGTGAGGACCCTAGCCAGTACGCATATTGTGAGAATTGCTCAACAGAGGACGCCATCTCCTCTGTGGTCCACACTGCTTTCACTCACCTGGAGCAGAAGGACTCCTACGTCCATATGCTCTTTGTGGACTTCACATCTGCCTTCAACACCATGATTCCCCAGACCCTGATGGACAAACTACTTACACTAGGACTAAGCCCCATCCATTTGCACTTGGGTCCTAGACTTCTTAACACACAGACTGCAGTCCGTGAGGATCCACAACTTCTCCTCCTCCATCATAACCCTCAGCACTGGCTCCCCTCAGGGCTGTGTGCTGAGCCCCCTCCTGTTTACTCTGCTCACATATGGTTGTGCAGCTACCCATCCAGGTTGTCACATTGTAAAGTTTGCAGATGATGTGGCGGTGGCGGGATGCATCACAAACAATGATGAGTCCAGCTACAGGCAGGAGGAGGAACACCTGGAGAGCTGGTGCTAGAAGAACAACCTTCACATCAATTAAGAAGCCAAAGGAGATGGTTGTGGACTTCAGAAGGAACCCCCCCCACACACACACCCCACCCCCCCACACACATATTAAACATAGGAGGATCTGCAGTGGAAGTGGTCTCCAGCTACAAGTACTTGGGTGTGCACCTGAACAACAACCTCAGCTGGAGCAACAACACCACCAGCCTGATCAAGAAAGCTCATCAGAGACTCTACTTCCTCAGACGGCTGAGGCGAGCTGGTCTGGGAAGCTCAGTCCTCACTTCCTTCTACAGGTGTGCAGTGGAGAGCATCCTGTGCTCCAGCATCAACATGTGGCATGGAGGCTGCACAGCTGCAGAAAGAAAAGCTTTACAGAGAGTGGTGAAGGCTGCATAGAAGATGTTGGAGTCAGTCTCCCCACCATCACAAACATCTACACCTCCAGATGAAGGAAGAGGGCCTCCTGCATCACTAAGGACCCCACTCGCCCAGCACGCACACTTTTTGCCCCGCTCCCCTCAGGAAGGAGGTTGAGGAGCATTAAGTGTAGAACCACTAGACTGAGGAACAGCTTCTACCATGAGGCTGTTAGACTCATGAATCTCTAACCAGAATAATCACTGTGAAAAATTCACATCATGTTGCTGCTGATCTGTTTCATGTTGCTGCTGATCTGTTTCATGTTGCTGTGTTCATGCGTGCTCATCTGCTCACAAAGACTCATGTTCGTGCTGCTGTTCGGTGTATTGTTTTTATGCTACTAGTGCTTAGTGTATTTTTATTAACATTTTTCTTAGTTCATATCTTAGATCTTATTACTGTTTTTCTTTTACATTTTAATACTTTTGTTGGATGTAACTGGGACTCTGTGTAAACAATTTTGTTCCACCACATGTACCACATGCGGTGGAATGACAAATAAAGAGCCTTTAATCCTTGAACCTTGAATAAAGCTAATTTATTGAATGAAAACAAGTGTTGTAATGTAAACAAATACGAGCAGGCAAAATGGAAACGCAAAGATCTTTGTGTAACTAAAAAGGATCCAAGGTACCTGCACCCAATGAAGCAATTTATTTACAGTAATGAAAAAAAACTTTTCAGTTTTAGGTTTAGTTCATTTGATTCTAGTGGTTCAGTTTACATGTTTTTGTAACAAGTTCATGGCATGATTGACCCTTTTCCAAGCTAAAAGCAAATCATCAATAAACAGTCTAATGGAAGTACAGTGTGTGCAGTTTGATTTGAAGATAAAGTTAAGACATAAAAATCACATCAATTGAATTCTAGTTTGAGCTACAGCGTCACTTTTTTCACAGTGAATTCAAACTGCTCAATAAACATTTCCAAACCTTGAGGATAAAAAAGGGTGGTGGTTGGTAGTGACTTCAGACGTCTTAAAATTTCTTATCAAACACATAAAAGACAAAAACCTATGTCACTTTTCCTGTCGTTAAAAGCATTAGTTTCTACATACGGTGTGTTAACATCTTCTCGGTACGTCTATGCGCATCATGTTCCCTGACAACGATGAATGTTAGCAACAGGTGAGTCTTTTCGCAGCTATGGCAACAGAGAAACTAAACGGAACGATGACTCAATTTTCAGGCACCCGAGTCCTTTTAACCTTCATAAAAGTGAAGCAAACATGTAGGCTGAATTAAAACATTCCAGAAGTTGTTTTAGAAGCGCAGAGCTGTTTGACACCACTTGTAGCAAACTACGGTCCACACAGAACTCTTGAAAGTTCCAGGCAAAGACAACAGAACATCTGTAGCTTGATGAGAATCCTGACGGATCATAGAAATCAGATTAGAGAGGTTATACAAAATTGTAATTAGAGATTTTTCTGCCTCAAACACTGAGTTCCTGAAGATTTGGTGAAAGTGTGCAGCTTACCTGGAGATCCACTTGATACAACTCAAACCGTGTACCGGTACTGTAGTACAAATTCCTACTGAAACTCGTGACGTTGCTCTTGCTGAAGTGCAGCAAATGTCTAAGAATCAGACTGTGAAACAGCAGATGCATCGCTCTGCATACCTGCATTTTTATTGCGACACACGCAAACACAAATGCAAACGCGTCGTGACAAGCAGCGGCACGGCGCAGAAACAGATTGGATTTAGATAAGCTGCATTCAATTCACAGCAAACCGCTGCAGTGAGACATCTAGATCTGTGCAGCAAACAAATATTTTACAACATCGTAGGTATGTAATTAACTTGTTTTGAGCTAGGCATACATATACTGCCATTTCTGTGATTTACGGGCTACAGCTTCATGACTAATGCAATGGGTGGCTATAAATTTAATTGTGATAATGCAGGCTGCCCTGTACCTAAACAGATATTTTAATCAGAAATAACTCAGTAATTTAGATGTTTATTTAACCAGATTTAAACTATAGTGTTAAAATAGCCAGCAATAATCAAAAAAATCTGTTTTGAAAATATGTGTTAATAGGACTTTTGATTTGAGTGAAATAATTTTAAGAATGTAGAGTGAGAAGTTTATATATTAAACCATCAAGTCCACCGTGATTAATGGGACCCAACTAATGTGAATTGGATGAAGATTAACACCCGTGTAGGATAGTACTTCAAAGAGTCAAGAGCTTCTATCATCATAATATATTTATTCCTTAAATACAAAGCTGAAACGGAAGAACTAAGTCCATCGTATGATTCGAAAACTTGTAGAACAACTTACTGCCATTAATGTTGGGACTTTACAGCACTTTGATTAACGCCCATACCATCGCCCCTCCATCGCCATGCTTAACAGTTAGTATGACATGCTTGTGACGCTATGGTGGGGTTAGTTTTCACCAAACATGATATTGTGCATTATGGATAAACATCTTGTCGTTGTTCTCTACCCCCCATGATTTTATTAAGACACAGTTTTTCCTTTTGACTTTGTTTTTGCTAAATAAATAACTCTGTGGAATTGGTTGTGTTTGTTTGTTTTTTGTTTTTGTGGTGTTTCAGTAATTTTAAAACTTCAGTAAAACCAGGATGTTTTTTATTATGTCATGATAAGTAAAACCCCAGAACTGAAGAGGGCGGACTTTCTTTTCCCACAACTGTATGAATATAATTTGTCAGCAGCATTGTCATGTTTTCATCTCCCTGATTCAATTTTGCTTTTTAGATCAGGAACATCAGACTAATGACATTAACAATGACTCTGGGACTTACAGCTGCTCTTATAAGAAATGACGCACAACCTGCATTGCCTAATATCTGAATCCTGGAATGCCGAGACAATTAATATCATTTACAGCTGCGGTTCTCCTGTTGTGACACGCCGTCTATAAAACACAATAAGACAGCCAAACAATCACAACTACATCATTTCACAACTCGGCAAATAGCCTTTTAAACACTTAATCTTACTTGAACAAAATTAACATTGC